AAAAAACACACTTCAGTGATTTCTACAAAGATGGCGTCCATATTGGAACTCACTATGAAACCGATCTGACCTTCAACAAGGTCACCAAGTCAGACGAAGGACTCTATAAATGCACCATTTCCAACTCAGGAGAGTCTGCTGAAAGCTGGCTGGCTGTTGTCAGTCCAATAGGAGGTACGTTTGATACCAAAGTTAAAATAATTCTTCAAATAGAAGAAAATATTCTTTAATCTTTAGGATACAATGGAGGAGATTTGGTCTAAAAGCAAAAGGTTTATAAAGTCTAAGCTCAGATGCAGATTTATTTTCTCAGAGAATCTTTGAAAAGTTTAGAGCAGAAAAATAGGTTTCAAAGTTCAGCCTTGTGCAAACCTGCAGAGCATGGAAACTGAAACGTTTGGGTGTCTGCATGTCTCTCACTGTCCACTGAGTTTTACGTCTCATTTTCAGGATCTAATGAAGAGACGCAGCCTTTGACTAACATGCTGATTATCATTTTGTTGTCCGTGGTTTTTGCTCTGCTCTTCTGGGTCATTGGACTGATTCTCTACAAGAAACACAGAGGTACCGTTAACTCCTTTAAATGTTCTCTCTGCAACATGTGCAACATGAGTTTGATCATTTATCTTTGTTTTAGTTGAGGAAAAAACCCTAACCCTAAACGGGAATGTCAAAATTCAACCTGATTCTTTTAGGGCTTTTTAGTGGAAAATTCTAATTATATTTTGAAAATTATATCTGAAATTATATCTACAGACTCAAATATATACATATTTGGTCAAAAGTCTCTGCAAGCACCTAAACAACTTTTTGCATAATTTAGGTAAAATATTTTTCTTTTTTTCTAACAATATTAATAAAACAACAACTGTACAGCAGGTATCATCAAATCAAACCAAATCAAACCAAATATGAATATTAAATTCACCCAGAGCGAGGCAGAGTAAACAAAACTTTGCTCAGATAAAAGTAGCAATACTTAAAATATAGACATCTAAAAACTTACTTAAGTAAAAAAAGTATTTAGTAAAAAGTCTACTCAAGTTTTAACTGATTAAATCTAATTAAATATTTTAAAATTACATAATCATACTGAATAAAATGTTAGAGTAAGTGGGAATTTTGGTATATTAAGGACCAAAATTATGGTAATTCATGCAAGTTACCAAGAAAATTAAAAAATCAGGCAAAATAAATATTTTCAAAATCAGTTTCTTTCAATATAAACTTTAACAAAAACTGCAGGTGTGTTTCTGTGTCTGGTGAATTTTTAGTTGAAACATGTTTGTTTTTCATTCAGTGGGAAGAAAATCAATAAATTTTCCTCAAGTAAGTGAAAAGATACGACTCAAGTAAAAATAGAAAGTACAGTTTACTAAAAATACATTTTTTTAAAAAGTTACTCAAATTAATGTAACTGTGTAAATTCCCAACTCTGGCTTCGCTTCACCAGACTCCAGTAAACGGATCATTAATGCGACTCTGAGAACTGAACTGAGGAAGTGATTCAGTCATTTAACTGACCAGAACTTTACTGGTCAGTTAAAGTTCTGACCAGTAAACTGGTCAGAACTTTAAAGTTCTGATAAATTACCAGAACTTTACTGGTCATTTACCAGAACTTTCACACAGAAACGAATGTAAAAGTTGCTGTCGACTCTCAAATGACCAACATCCAGACAGACCAATCATCTGCAGTGGATTACATTTTTTTTTTCTGTTTCATTTTTGCAGCCTTGAGAAATGAAATTGTCTCAGATCCAAATGATTCAACATATGCTTTGGTGAACAAGCCTGGGAAGAGGAAAGGTAGATGTTTGTTTCTGTCACACATTATTGTTGAAAACAGCAGAAGTCATTTTTAGTGCTTGGATGTTTTTCACCAGGTGACTCTACAAATAAACCGGATGATGTCACGTACGCCGCCGTTGAGATAAAGAAGAAAGGTATTATTACCATGATGACTCATCTGTCCTCTGTGGCGCAGACTCCGTGACATTAGCTCAGTTTTACACTCCAACTATTTTCAGACAGGCAGACGTATCTGTCAGTTAAGAAACACGTAGTGAAACCACCGGGCGCAGCGAGGGGCCCCTCAGCTCGCTCCTTTACACAACAATAGAAATCACACGGAAATAAAACACTGATCTAATTCTGCATCCACGCCTTCACAAAAACACATCTCCTAAAAACACACTGACAGCTTTAACTGCATGGAGTCTGAAATAACTGGTGCTAACAGCTGCAGAAAAATTGAAACTTAAACTGACTGTGGTTTTCAAATGATTGTTATTTTTTTCGTCCATCAGGGTCAAAGGTTTCCAGAGCGACCGCTGCCCAGCGTTCATCAGAGCAGGAGTCGGTCTATTCGTCCATCGCCCTGAAAAGAGGAGAGTTAAATTAGTCATGATACGTCAGCAAAGTCTGTTTCTGTCCCGTTAAGCAAAGCTGAAAGCTTCAGTCACTAACTGGTTGAAATTGACAAAGTGATGATAAATATGACACTGAAAACTTTAACAGTACGAATATCATTATAGATCAAATGAAATGTGGAGTTCATGTCATCTGTTCATGTGTAGTCATTGTGTCTTTTTATTCTGTTGTGTTTTTATGCATCTGTTTGTGTTTTCATAAGAGCAAAGGAATATTTTCAAAAATCAGTGTGTGCATCACAGTGATGGTCTGTGCATTAAAGCAGCTCAGGTATTCTTAGCTTACATGTGTCTAAAGTGGGATTTACTGACACTTCTTGACCTTTAATGATCCATCATTGAACCACTGCAGGCTCCTCTCTCCAGACTTACCTGAGAAGGACTTTAGGTGTGTTTCAAAAGACCAGAATATATGACACTGGGCTGTAAGTTGACAGCCTGACAGCAGAACCTCCAGTTTAATGCAATTTGTGGTTCCTTAAATAAATGATTTCTGCCAGTTGACACAAAAATTCAACTTAATTTGTTGTGTCGTCTTATATAGAATCAGTTACATTTTCTGCCTGAAATAGTTTTCAGGTGATGTTTTTGTGACTTGGCAACAGTAAAATTCAGTTTTAGTGAAATAATTTCTTACACAACTTTGAACACAAGTGTCTTTTTGATGAGTGAAGCTTGTCAGAGACATTTTCAATGTCAAAAAGTCATATGCTGACAATATTTTATCACATATTATCCTAAATGTCCATCTTTGTTATAACATCCAAAAACTCCCCTTACTACAGAAATGCAACTCCATTTTTTGGCAACATCTTGCCTTATTAGTGGCCGTGGAAACAACAGATTATTTTCTGTGAATTAAATCAGAGATGAATTATCAGTTTTTATTGTTTTTGTTTTGTATTTAAAGTTGATGCTATAGTGTTATGATTTAAAGGGGGTAAAAATCCTATTGAATATAAAAATTTGTCATGAGCTCCACATTAGCCACATGTGGCTAATGTTGAGGCTAATTAGCCTCAAACATTGTATAAATGCTGGAGGCCCCTGTGCTGCAGTACTCACTAACGGCCACTAGATGGGATGAAAGACGCTGGACTGAGAAAACGAAAGTTTCTGCAGGATTCTCCTCCTTCCTGCCCACATGAGCGACAAAGATCTTTGTTTGGCTGTATTGGTCAAGGATGTTTGCACAAAAATATATTATCTTAAGAGGAAGAAGTAAAAAAATCAACAGTATGTATATGTATGTAAATAGCCAACAGACTGAACACTGAGAAAAAGTATCAATTAAAAATTGTGTGAAGGGAAAATCTCCCGGCGTGTGAAAACAGATTATTTAGGAAATCTATTGACTGAGGGAAAGAAAGATACACAACTTTTAATACAAACTGGTTAGTTCACATACAACAGTGACCAAATGTTAGTGCAAATGTATTTGTTATGAAAACCTGTCAAATTCACATGATACTTATTAACTTTAAGCAGAAACAGAGTACCTAGTGACAAAACCTATATGATAGATTCCCCATCTGATTGTGACAAATCAGTCTTGCATCTCTATTCTTATTCAATGCTTTTAATTTCTCTCTTGAGGAAGAAACTGTTAAGTTTTCAAAAAGAATCAGGAACTTTGAACTGTAACAGTGAAACTAAAACACTGACAGAAACTGAAAAGTGAACTTTGTTGTTCGCCTTTATTAGAAAACCTATGAGTTTCAGATAAGAAACAAATAAAGTCGACAAATTCTAGCAAAGATTGCAGAAGGTTTTTCCTTTTAATTTTGACGAAGAAACTAACTTTGGTCAGTGGAAGTTAAACAAATCACACATGAAATGAGAAGTCATATTGTACCAAGTTTATTATAAAGTCACCAAATGTGTGTGATATACAAACCAATATTAATTTTTCTTGTGGTTTATTAAATAATGTTTCTTTCATCCTGTGTTTTCCGAGGTCTTGACCTCAAATTTGCTCTCAGTGCAGCTTCACTGGGAGTTTCTCTTATCGTCTTTCTCATTCGCTGTGCAGGTATCCCAGAAATGCAACTTGGATAATAAGCAAACTGATAAAGTTTTAAAACTGAAATTTCTTATGTAATAAAAAATGTCTTATTCAGTTACTTCAAGATGCTTGAAGTAACACTTTTTAAAGTCAAAGTTGGAAAGAATGTTCCAGTTTTACTGTTACAGAGGTAAATATATTTTTGAGTGGAATCATGTTATATTTATATTATACAAACAAAATATATATTATACAAGCATCATAATTATATTGTTAATGGCTGTATGACATTTTAATCAACAAAATTGGGCTGATTGATGATTTTAGCAGAGCAAAATAAAAAGACGAAAAAAGAGAAAAAGAAAGAATATCAATGAGAAATTTAGCAAACTAAAACAAACATTGTGGGTTGAGTTAAACCTTATCTGTCTTTCTATCTGTATCCTCAACTGCCAATTGCAACGACTCATCCCTGATAGAAACTGAAAGAAAAAGAAAACGCTGGTTTATTTAAATCTGACAGAAGAGCAAAAAGAAAGCAGCTTTTGCTCCTTTCACTGAATTTGATCCGATTGCAATGGAAACCTCAGTGGGAATCTTTGTTGCATTTCTTGGTCTTGCAGCCTCAACAGGTAAATCTTTATGATTCTAAAACAGTTGAGTTTAAAGATAATAGTTTAGCTTTCACTTATGTCAGAGTGAGCAAATCTCTGAGCAACAATAATAGACCCAGTTCTAAACAACCACTGACTAAAATGGGCTTGTAGTTTTAGTTTCCAGATAATTTCAGATAAGAACAAGTTTTAGAGACTTTTAACAATAATCGTAGCAAAAACGAGCAGGCATGAAACGTTTTGATGGGGAACCTCAGACAGAGGAAGTGAGGCGAGCCGCCCAACAAGAGGCAACGTTCCTGTCTGGATCCCAGACAGAAACTCTGGTTTCTGCTGCTGCACATCCTGTCTGCATTTCCATCACTCATCATCACAGAGAACATGGATTTCTATAATTCTCAGGACAATCACCAAACTGTGTTTCAAAATTGTACAACAAAAGAAACGTTCCCATACTTACAGCTTCCTTTTCTTTATTGAAAAACAATCTGAATGCATGTAAAAAAATCATTTTTTCTGCTCCAGTTCAATCTGCACCAGCTCAAGAATATTTCAGCCAACATTATAAAGACGCTCAAAGACAAGAAAATGAAACGCAGTCAGACGCCATGCTGACTTCCCGTAACACCACAACAGGTGATGCTCACGGTTTTTGTTCCAGATGATGTTATAATAATCACGCTACACGTGTTCTGTGCTACACTTAAGTTGAATGCATAACAAATTCAGTTTTGTGTTTATGTGAATTTTTCCTCTTTTTCTCAGGATCAAACATTTCTCGTGGGCAACTGATCGGCATCGTTGTCGGCGTCGTTGTTGCTGCGCTCATAGTCACCGTTTCTTGTGCTGTTATGGCAGGTATGTCTGAAATCCAAAAAACAACATACATGTATTTTTTACTGGTAAAATATTAACTATATCCAATAGAGGAAAAAAGGGACAACATAGCAAGTTAATACTGAATTCAAGCTAAACCTCATTTAAAGACCTAAATAAATGTTTTAGAAAGAAACTTTAAGAAAGATGAATGTTTTTGAAAGAACATTATTTTTTGATAATGCATGTTCGTTTATTTTTCAGGTCTCAGTAATTCTTGGGCAACATTTTTTCAGTGTTTTTGTAGCTGCTGTCAATTATGCCTTGAAATAGCAGAAGCAGTCGACTGTGCGCCGCTGGATTGTGACGCGATGCTGGATTGTGCTTGTGACGCGATGCGACGCGACGCTTTGAGTTTCTCCAGGGAGCCGCTGTGATGCACCCAGCCAGCCAAAATAAAACTTATGGAGTATTTTAATGTAATGTACATATCTTGTTTTGTTCAAATGTTTTCAGATTTTAGAGAGACTGTGTTGGATGATGAAGCTCCTGGTGTTTCTGGGTCATGACCTGATGCCATGTCTGGATATGGTTCCTAGATGTAATATTTAGTTTTTCATTCATTCAGACACATTTACCTAACATGTATTTGAACTCAATACTTCTCTTTTTATTGGAACATATCACTAATCCAATGCATCCTGGAAGCTCATCCAAACAAAAGAGGCTTAAAATATCTGAATGCAGGAAAAGCTGTTGGACCTCACCTTTGTTTAAGTGGTTTTGGACTTTGTTTAAGATCCTTTTATCATTATTTTTGTTGTTTTGTTTCTTCTCTAGTTGGCATTTGAGCAGCCATTATATTCTCCTGTGTTATTTGTTTGTTAGGTCAGTTGGGCTGTTAAATATTCTTCACTGCAAGAACTAAATGTGTTTTGGTGAACTGTAATCTTTGAGAGATTTATTTAGTTGAGACAATTATGTTGAATGACATTTAGTGGTTAAATAAATGTATGATATAAAAATATTATACTTATGAACGATGCTTGCTTTGTTTCTGTAAATATTTGATCATCTTCTTGTAATTGTTCATAAATAGTATATTTCTTCATTAATTTGGTTTATATTTATTGTCATTTATTTTCCATGTATATATTTCTATTAAAAATTAATTTTAATAGTATTTATCTCAATAAATTATGTACTAATACTGTTGAAAATTGTAGCTGAAATCCATTTGAAAAAATGTTTATATGGCACATGCATCAAAATTCATATTTAATTGTGATAAAACTTTTCTATAATGTTTTCATATTCAGGACGGCTGTAATATATCAGCTCCTCCAGTCAAATTGACCTTATTTTCAAAATAAAGTCTGTAAAAGGTGATTGGTTTGTGCTGCGGCTCTCGTAGCTTAATGTGACTCTCAGATGCAGAAGCAAGCAGAAAATTATGTTTATTATAATAAATACAACTCCAAACAAACTAGTCTCATCTTTTGGTCCATTCAGGAGATGCATCAAGTCGTACATATTTGGAAACATGAACGACGCAAAAAAAAAGAGATAATAATAATCTGACGTCACAAAACATCAGAATTGAGCAGAAAGGCCTGCAGCTTGACGCAGCCTTTCTGCGCCCCAGTGGTCCTGAGAACGACAGCATCTCTGTGGACCATGTTTAAAGCTCACAGCACAGATATAATACAGACTTCAGAGTTTTGATGTGGTCCATCAGAGCAGGTTGACTTAATTCAGCTTTTGCTTTCAGATGAGTGGATTTGACCATGTGATGGGAGAAGTGGGCTACATATTGCTAACACTGAAACAGGAAGTTGTGGTTGCAGTGACAACATTGGTGCAGTCAGTACTCAGACCACCGTTCAGTCAGCATGGAGGTCACAACACTCTGCGCTTTTTTTGGTAAGTTAAACAGTTTTGTGAAAAGGATCTTGACTTGTGGTGCATAGAAGTAAATTCTAGTTACATATTAGTTGTTGAGGGAATTTCTTCCCAGCCCTTCATTCACAGGCTGTTTCTTTTTGCAGTTTCTTTTCAGGTCCTTCCCAACAGATCGCAGTTCTTCCGGTACGAATCTGCCGCCTTCAGCCTGAGCTGCGACCTGCAGGAAGACGCTGCTGCATGGACAATAAAAAGGAACACGTCCAAACAAATCAATTCACTTTGTCCTGCATACACTGCTGGAAGGAACGACTCTGCATGCCTTTTAACTGAGCTTTATGAAATGGACTCTGGAGTGTACTGGTGTGAATCAGAGGCTGGGAAGATCAGCAACACCATCAACATCACTGTTACTGGTAAAATATTAACTAAACACTCTTTATTGTCTTGTTGTTGATAAATATTTGGATCAGTTTGGGAGAAGAAATGTTTCACCTCCGATTCTTGTAGAGGAATCCACAAATGAGAGTTTTTTTTATTTAGACGGTGAGATCCTCCTGGAGATCCCAGCTCTTCCAGTGATGGAAGGAGACGATGTGGTTCTGCGATGTAGAGAGGGGAACATTATCTGGAAATATTTCATCTGCGTTTTATAAAGACGAGCTTCTCATTGGGGAAAGCGTGAGAGGAAGCATAACTCTACAGAGGGTTTCTAAATCCGACCAAGGACTCTACAAGTGCCACGTATCTGGAGTTGGAGAATCACCAGACAGTTTTCTGACTGTCAGAGGTTAGTGACTGAGCTGAGGAATGGAAATAATCTATTGACCACAGCAACATATTAAGAAGAAAATGTTGAGGATGATAATTATACCCAACCAGGAAGAAACATGAAAAGGTTGACATGAACTTTCTACCTTTGAACTGATTCTAGATATAAATGGTTCTTCCAGTTTGACCTTAAGATGCTTCAGCAGGTCAGTGTAGGAGATATTAACATCTGTCATCCAGATGTTTTCCAGTGCAGAGAGTTAAAGTCTGCAGCTCCCGATCAACAGATTTAAAGAATTTAAGTTTCTGTATATAAAATCGTTCCACTTTGGTCCAGATTGTTGAATTTCAGTTTATTTTTGCTCTATAATGAGTAACACATAACGCTGGTCAATGAACAATGGCAGGCAGCTTAAAGCAAGTTAATTCTCCATGCTTCAAATTGCCCAGTTATTGTTGTCACTCACTGTTATTTCTCACTGAAAGTGTTGACTGTTGTCGCAGAAACTTTGCTGTTCTACTTTATTGCTAACCTGTGGTTGTCTGCTCTTACGCAGGATTTCCTGAATCGCCGCCGTCACTACCTGGAAACATTGCACTTCTTGTGATGGTCACTGGAGTTTCATTATTTCTAGTGATGTTGCTCTGTCTATGGAGAAACCATCCCGGTCAGACACGACTTACTTTTACTGAAACATGAATATTATCAATGTCAGGCTGGATGCAACATCATTAAATTACTCATTACATTTCAAGCTGGAACTAAATATGGTTAAAATCTAATTTGTTCTGTTATACAGACAATTATGACTCTTCTGTTGTGATTTATAGTGGAGAAATCAACAGACAAACACAGAGAGCAACAGGTAAACTTGAACACACTCAGAATGTGAGGGACTTTGTTTTTGTTTTGCTCTTTCAGATTTTTATTCAAAACCCAAATAGTTTAAAGAAAATAAGATGTTTTTGAGTCGATCTAAAGTCAAAGCTACATTTACACAAGAAAATGAAACAAAATGTTAAAAATGAGTGTTGTTTCAGATGATCTCCAGAGGGGGCGCCACTCTGCACTGGTCACTGTGGTCGTGTACAGACCGGCCCACGGACCGGCCCTGAAACCGGCCCTGAAACCGGCCAGAGTTTGGACTTATAAAGCCTACAGAGAATACAGGAAGAAACAGCAAATATTTTCATCTTTACATAATAAAAGTGCGACTCTCTCACCTGCCAACGACTATAATTAATACAAAAGTTTAAAGTTATTAGCCGTTTGTTTCAAGTTTGGACACTTTTGGTGGAATAACTACCATGTTTGTTTATATGTACAAGAAACTGTCAACTGAATCAATAACATCCTTAATCTAGAGATCAATATTTTTATTGAAAAGTTGTAAATATTGTATGTTTTTATTGTGAAACTGAGTTTCTGTTCTGGGCTAAATAACACAACTATATCAACATAAATATGAATTCACAGCACAATCCGCTATGGTCATAATCCATCTTCTATCTAGTTCTTTGTGCTGCTTAGCTGACCTGAAAGTTTCCTTAATTATTGACTCGTTAATGTCTGTATTCATGCAGTAATAGCTGCCAGGTAGGAAATATTGAATCAGAACCAGTGGTCCCCAGTGGTCACCAGAGGTCACAGTGGACACCAGTGGACACAGTGGACACCAGTGGTCACCAGTGGTCACCAGTGGTCACCAGTGGACACCAGTGGTCACCAGTGGACACCAGTGGACACCAGTGGTCACCAGTGGACACCAGTGGTCACCACATTGTTTTTTTTGCAGAGTTGTTTCTCACCTGTGATGATCTGATGCAGGACGCTGAGTCAGCAGTCTGGAAACACTGAACTTCCTGTTGTCATCATAAGTGCTTCATTTTTTTTAGTGACTCAGGCTGTTGAGGAACCACCAAGGTGTTCCGGCCATGACATTATTCTGCAACACAGCCGTCAGTAACTTATTTATTTCCTGATTAACCCATTCTAATTGCATATGTAAAGCTAACACTTTGTGCTGCAGAAAGATGTGAATACATTAAAGATTAAAAAAAGAGTGAAATGTTTTCTCTTCTGTTCATCACTTCTGATGTGACTGGTTCTGTGGTTGCTCAGACCAACAGGATGTTCTGTAGAATCGTCTTTCTTTCGAGGTTGGAAGAAACAAACAGTTTGATGTTCTGCACTGATAAACAGAAAATGCCGCAGACTCACCGTTAGCGAAGCTTCAGGACCACAGCCGTGAAAATCCAAGAGCATTCTAGCACCACTCTAAAATCTTGCATAACCATCTATTAGTTTGCACAAAAATTTACTGTAATACTTGTAAATAAGTGCAGTGGAGACCATCTTTGCAGGCTCTTTATTTCTGCCTTTGCAGGTTCAGCCAGTCAACACTGAGGAAAATAAATGCAGGTCTTTGATTGGTTGCTTGTTAAATTCTGCATTGCATTGTTTCAAATGTCAGATGAAGCTGGAATACATTTTTATTTGAAAATAAATTAATCTCGTTGTGGCATGAAACACAACAAAACATTTTCAATTAAGCTTAAGTAAAGTAATCCAAACAAGTTTTGTGTCTTTCAGATAACATAAGAAACCAAATATTGTGCAAAATAATTACATTTAGTCTGTTTCTGATAACTTTGTTTGGCTTAAATGTATACAACCAAAGAAACTCAATATATCATTATAAATAGCAGTTTCAGGGTTGTCATTAGCTAACTGGTGAAGTTCAGTTCATCTAAAATAAATATGTAGTTTTATGAATCTTCTTCATGGATTTCTTCTTCCTCTGCCGGTGCTGAAACTTCCTCAGAGGTTTTAGATTCTGCAGAAGGAAAAATGATGTTGATTCACTGACTTGGTCATTTACAACTCAATCTAGTGTAAAGGTTGAACAAACCTGAGAGAATTGTCCTAATGCAGGAACAGATCTGGTTCACATATTCGTTCCTCAGAACCTTCACGTCTCTTTGAAGCTCCTCCGTCCACTTCTGCTCCTCCGCGATTATTTTTTCAAACTGTAATGAAGTGAGACATTTCACTGATGATCCTGATGAAAGCATAAAGCCCAGGTGTGTGCAGGATTCATGTCTGACCTCGTGTTTGTATGTCTCCTTCAGCTCATCCAGCTGAGCCTGCAGCTGCTGGTTCTGTTCGGTCAGAACCTCAGACTGGGCCTGAGCGTCTCGCAGCTGCACAGCAAAACATAAAAACACAAAACAAGAATGGAAAAATATTAATGCAAGTCACAGAATCTCTTTTCAATATCACTTATCAGAATAAATCAGTTTTATTCATGGGCTATATCTATTCTTATTACTATGTAATAAGAATAGCTCCCTCTAGCGGCCACACTGGACATGTCATGCTGAGTGAGATAAAAACTTTATGAAAAAAGTATTATTCCTTCTTTAAGGCAACAATTACCAGGCATTTCTTGATTAGCTGGTGAATAAATACTTTTTGGCTCATATTTCTTTGGGAGAAAATGTGCCTTTGAAATAAAAACAATGTTAAATGTGATGAAATGCTGAAGCTCATAATTTGTTAGGATCTTAGTGGAGATTGAATTAAATATGAAACATGTATTGTCAACAGAATATAAAGACATAAACATGTTTTGCCTCTTTGCGGAGCTCCGTGATCTCTGACGTCAAGTTCTCCAGTTCTGGCTCCTCAACGGCTGCAGATTGTTCAGGATTCTGTGTTTTCTGCTGCGATCAGACAAAGAAATGGATGTTGAATCAGGATTTCAGCACAAAAATAACTTTTCCTAATAGAATTTCACAAATTGATACCTCAAAAGCAACATTTTTATATAATTATAAACCAGGAAAAGAGTTATTTATTTTAGTTTTGTTCCCTGTGCCTGGCTGAAGTTTCCTGCCCATGAATCTTGACTCTGTTTCTCATTTTAATAAAACTTTATCTCTTTTATTCTTTAGACTTAAACACTGACTCTGAACTGTTCTCTTTAAATATGTTTCTCTCCTAGACAGGAGAAACTGCAGCAATTAACTTTTGTCTTTTCTTCTGCAGGAGGTCAAATGAGAGTTTTTTCCTCTCCACTCTCGCCACATGCATGCTCAATATCAGGCTTTGCAGCAAAACTAATTATTGCCTGCTGTTGCTCATCTAGAATAATGACTCCATCCAACCTGCTGTGTTACATCATGTAAGACATTATGTGAATATCAAACTCATGTTGACTGTTTAGACCAGTCGATGGAAGTGACAAGTTTTATTGTGAATTTGGTGCCATATAAATATGCTCTTATAACTGAAACATGATGTAGCAAAAAGTTTTTTACCTTCACTGTGGAAATAAAACACTTTAACACTTTATCAATAAATCTGAAACTGGACTCATGCAGCTCTGATAAATCATTTTCATTTTGAGTTTCAGGCACGTAGAGATTATGAATGTTTATTCTAGAAGCTATAAATAGAGGTTGCACCTGGTCTTTATGGTTTTCCAGCTCCTTCATCAACACCTGCTGGGATTCTTCTGTCTTCTTCATCGTCTCATGGAGAATTTCAACCTTTTTTGAAAAGCTCTCCAGCTAAGAGAACAAAAAATGGAGGTAAGATACTTTCAGAAAACATCCAACTTAGACGTTCACAAATTCCTCCCATTAGCAGCTGAATCTCTAGATTACAAACTTTGCTTGTCTGCAACAACTCGATGCCTTTAACCGGGACTCCTAACATAGATTTCTTTTTCTCCACCAATTGGAAACACAGACTGAAGTTTTCAAACACTCACAAAATGTCCTTGAGTTTGGTGAAAACAGATAAACCTTTTGTGTTTTGGTGTCCAGCTCTGCTTTCAGCTCCTGCAGGTGTTTTTCAGCCTCCTCTCTCTTCGTCTGTTCAGTCTTCAGCTGCTGCAGGACTTCAGCTCTGACTGCAGAACGGAAACAACAGATGTTCACTTTCTGTCAGTCTTTGCACTGATCAGAATCAGTGAAGTGAACAATGTGACTTTTACCTGCTTCACGTCTTCTTTCTCAGCTTCAGTCGGCTTTTCCTCCAACTCGGCTTCACGCTTGGATTCTTGTAGCTGCACCGGAAACAGGATGTTGGATCCTTATAATTAAAGCTTAATTTCATGCTGTATGGGGCATTTTAAGAGCCATTTAGACAAAGAACAACAGAAGGAAAAGTACCAACCAAGCTCTGCTGCTTGTCGTAGTCCTCAGTCATTTCCTTCAGTTTCTGAGTGATCTCATTCACTTCCTCATCTTTCTGCCAAACGTTCCTGTCAGTCAACTGAGGCAAACAGAAAGAGAAGATGTTGAGTTGTTAGGCTGTGTTCGCACAAAAAACATATATCCAAACCAAACAAACTATACTTCTGCTACTTTAAAAAGATAAATGTCCCTTTTAAGATTGATTTTGTTTTGGCTCTTTGGTTAAACTGTTTCACATCATTGCTTCATCATGAAATGGAGGAAACTCGGGACAGAATCTTCTCTCTTACCTCCAGGTCTCTTCTGGCCGTTTCCAGCTCATTCTCCAGCTGCTTTTCAAGGATGTAACTTTGTTTCAAACGTTCTTCCAGCTGACAACACGAAAAGAGAAAATTTATTATATCACTCATGGAAATACAGAAGAAAGCTTAGCTTTTGTTTGACATCCAAAACTCATTAATCATGATACAGTTTGACCCTGCTTCTTAAATAATCCACAACCAATTTTCACAAAGTTATTTCTGGCTGCAGGTTTTGCAGCATTTAATGAAACAATCCTGTTTTGTTTTTTTTGTTTATCAAAAACCACCATTTTGATATGAAACGACAAGAAATGTGCTTTTAAGTGACTAAAAATGTGTAAAGTTTGATTGATTAAAATGAGTTAAAGCCAAAAAGCTGGCTATTCTTCTCTATTGTTTGTAATTCAAACAGTGTGAATGTCACAGAGGGAACTACAGCAGTGATGTGTTTTAGTGTGTGTTACTTTGTTTATCCATGTCTTCGTGACGATGCTCTTCAGTTGATTGAGGAAGTTCTGGCTTCTCTGATTCGCCGTTTTTACCTTCGGCAAAAATCAGAGAAGAGAAGTTTAAAACTGACAGCTTAGACAGTTCAGTTCATTGATCTGCTGGTTAGAAAATGAATCATTAAAAAAGACAGCAGCTTCAATTCATCTGCACTCCATTCAACTGTAGCTTAAAAATGCAACCAAATGGACTCCAGTTGCATTTGGTGATGGTGGGTAAAAGTAAACCAGCCGTTCTGCAGAAGGTCCTTCGCTTTATAAACTGTTTTTATTGTTTGTTTGTTTTTATTGAGGGCTCAATTTCCACTTTATTCAGCTAAATCTGCATTTGCACAAGCATTTTAACATTGTGATTATCAAACAAACTGTCTTAATGCAAGATTATTTCAAGTTAGTAATTGAAGATGCAGAGAAAATTAAAATAAAAATGATCAGAATAAAGAATAAAGCCATAATATTGCAACTTCATTCTCTTAATTATACTCCTTTATTATTATTTTATTAATATGGTCTGATTCCCTGTACATTCTGTGTTAATTGATTTGTTTTTTTCATCTTGCTGAGTTTATATTTAGCAATAAAAAGC